GAAGTCTCTGGTCTGTAAACAGGAAGTCTCTGGTCTGTAAACAGGAAGTCTCTGGTCTGTAAACAGGAAGTCTCTGGTCTGGGAACAGGAAGTCTTTGTTCGGTAAACAGGAAGTCTTTGGGATGTAAACAGGAAGTCTCCGGTCTGTAAACAGGAAGTCTCTGGTCTGGGAACAGGAAGTCTCTGTTCTGTAAACAGGAAGTCTTTGGGATGTAAACAGGAAGTCCTTGGTCTGTAAACAGAAAGTCTCTGGTCTGTAAACAGGAAGTCTTTGGGGGTGTAAACAGGAAGTCTCCGGTCTGTAAACAGGAAGTCTCAGGTCTGTAAACAGAAAGTCTCTGGTCCGTAAACAGAAAGTCTCCGGTCTGTAAACAGGAAGTCTCCGGTCTGTAAACAGGAAGTCTTAGGGCTGAAAACAGGAAGTCTTTGGTCTGTAAACAGGAAGTCTTTGGTCTGTAAACAGAAAGTCACTGGTCTGTAAACAGGAAGTCTTTGGGGTGTAAACAGGAAGTCTCTGGTCTGTAAACAGGAAGTCTCCGGTCTGTAAACAGGAAGTCTCCGGTCTGTAAACAGGAAGTCTCTGGTCTGTACACAGGAAGTCTTTGGTCTGTAAACAGGAAGTCTTTGGTCTGTAAACAGAAAGTCTCTGGTCTGTAAACAGGAAGTCTTTGGGGTGTAAACAGGAAGTCTCCGGTCTGTAAACAGGAAGTCTCCGGTCTGTAAACAGGAAGTCTTTTGTCTGTAAACAGGAAGTCTCTGGTCTGTACACAGGAAGTCTTTGGTCTGTAAACAGGAAGTCTTTGGTCTGTAAACAGGAAGTCTTTGGGGTGTAAACAGGAAGTCTCTGGTCTGGGAACAGGAAGTCTTTGTTCTGTAAACAGGGAGTCTTTGGGCTGTAAACAGGAAGTCTCTGGTCTGTAAACAGGAAGTCTCTGGTCTGGGAACAGGAAGTCTTTGGGGTGTAAACAGGAAGTCTCCGGTCTGTAAACAGGAAGTCTCTGGTCTGTAAACAGGAAGTCTCAGGTCTGTAAACAGGAAGTCTCTGGTCTGGGAACAGGAAGTCTTTGTTCTGTAAACAGGAAGTCTCTGGTCTGGAAACAGGAAGTTTCCGGTCTGTAAATAGGAAGTCTTTGGTCTGTAAACAGGAAGCCTCTGGTCTGTAAGCAGGAAGTCTTTGGGGTGTAAACAGGAAGTCTCTGGTCTGGGAACAGGAAGTCTTTGTTCTGTAAACAGGAAGTCTTAGGGCTGAAAACAGGAAGTCTTTGGGCTGAAAACAGGAAGTTTTTGGTCTGTAAACAGGAAGCCTCTGGTCTGCAAACAGGAAGTGTTTGGGGTGTAAACAGGAAGTCTTTGGGGTGTAAACAGAAGTTTCTGTCTGTAAACAGGAAGTCTCTGGTCTGTAAACAGGAAGTCTCTGGTCTGTAAACAGGAAGCCTCTGGTCTGCAAACAGGAAGTGTTTGGGGTGTAAACAGGAAGTCTTTTGGGGTGTAAACAGGAAATCGATGGTCTGTAAATAGGAAATCGCTGGTTTGTAAACAGGAAGTGTTTGGGGTGTAAACAGGAAGCCTTTGGGGTGTAAACAGGAAATCGCTGGTCTGTAAACAGGAAATCGCTGTTCTGTAAACAGGAAGTGTTTGGGGTGTAAACAGGAAATCACTGGTCTGTAAACAGGAAATCGCTGGTCTGTAAACAGAAAATCGATGGTCTCTAAACAGGAAGTGTTTGGGGTGTAATCAGGAAGTCTCTGGTCTGTAAACAGAAAATCTCTGGTCTGTAAACAGGAAGTCGCTGGTCTGTAAACAGGAAATTGCTTGTCTATAAACAGGAAATCGCTGGTCTCTAAACAGGAAGTGTTTGGAGTGTAAACAGGAAGTCTTTGGGGTGTAAACAGGAAATCACTGGTCTGTAAACAGGAAATCGCTTGTCTGTAAACAGGAAATCGCTGTTCTGTAAACAGGAAGTCTTTGGGGTGTAAACAGGAAATCGCTGGTCTGTAAACAGGAAATCGCTGGTCTGTAAACAGGAAATCGCTGTTCTGTAAACAGGAAGTGTTTGGGGGTGTAATCAGGAAGTCTCTGGTCTGGGAACAGAATGAAGTGCGCTCACTCAGAAATGTGTAAATTAGTCAGAAACCTGGTCACGTTGCTTCTCTTTCGGGGCGAGGAGGATTCTTTCAGCTCTGGGTCAGGTTTTATCTGCAGCAGGACGTTAAAAGGTTTTTATGTTTCTTAATGTAAAACTGGAATCACTAGCTGCCTTTTCTTTTCCTGCCTCATCAAATATTTAACCCATGGCTGGAAATTATGTAAGGATCGGTAGAAACAACTGCTGCCTGTGTTTTAGTTGCTCATGCATTAATAAATGAACGAATGAGCTGAAGTTAAATTAGTTCGGTTGTTTTAAACCAGTGATGGAGAGCCACTGGAACAGCTGACATCATAATAATATTTAGTCCAGACTCTTATTTTTTAATTCAACTTTGCACAACAGAACTGAGTGGTGATCAGAGCAGTGCCCCGCCCCCATATCACTCTGAGACACTTATTGATTATTACAGGAACAAAGTCATCAGACAGCAGCTGAGGTGGACAGACTTTAATTAGAGACCACTCTGGATCAGCTGTTTACAGAGCTGTTTCTTCCTCCACCCAGTGTGTGTCCGCTGTAGGACTGTCAGAGGTCAGAGGTCAGAGGTCACACACCCAGACAATCGCTGACTTCCATTGGACCAGAGCTCAGAGTTTCTCTTCAAACAGGAAGTGAGTTCTGGTTCTGTTTGGCTGTCAGATTAACTCCAGAGTCTCTGAGGCCGGTTTGGAGGAAACCAGTGCTCTTCAACCAGAACCCAACCAGGACCCAACCAGGACCCAACCAGAACCCAACCAGGACCCAACCAGGACCCAACCAGAACCCAATCAGGACCCAACCAGGACCCAACCAGAACCCAACCAGGACCAGCTGTTTGAGCCTTCAGAGATTCAACTTGTCAGAACTTTTCCATCCACCTGATAAATCTGACAGGTTGAAGAGTAAAAACAGATCAAACAGAAGTTTGATTGAACTTGTTCTTCCAGTCTAAACAACATTTACCTGCAGACTACCAGGTACCACAGAGACCACCAAGGACCACCAGGTACTAGAGACCACCAGGGACCACCAGGGCCCACAGAGACCACCAAGGACCACCAGGGTCCACCAGGTACCACAGAGACCACCAGGGACCCCAGAGACCACCAGGGACCACAGAGACCACCAGGGAACACAAAGACCTGAATCTGTGCTTCTGGTACAAGCCTAATCAAAGACCGCCAGGGACCATAGGGACCACAGAGACCACCAAAGACCACCACGGACCACCAGGGACAACAGAGAACACCAGGGACCACCAGGGACCACAGAGACCTGACTCTGTGCACCTGGTACCAGTCTAAGCCAAACTAGGGCCCACCTGGTTTCCGGCGCACCGGCCTCTTCTTGCCGCTGCAGAAGCGGACCTTGCTGAAGACACTGAAGATGCGTCGGTCACACAGAGACCTGGACTCTCTGCTGGGACTGCTGCGCTTCTTGCTGGTGGCGACCTTCTCGTTGTTGGACTCGCGGGCTTGGCGTTTCTGTCGGATCAAGGAGCTGGCGATGGCCGCAGCCATCTCCCCGAGGAACGAGACCGGCTCTGAGCCTCGGGTCTGACGGTGTTTCAGCCCAGAATGGGCAACATGTCAGCCAGAAAGGGGCGGAGTCCATCCACTGAGGGACTGTTGGATGGAGGCGGAGCTTATCGCTGATCCATGACTAGAAAAAGGTCCTATACACCTGGATCAGTTTAAATGCAGCAGACTAGTTTCTCCACAGGTATGGTCAGGTGCAGACATCACATCTTGAAGGTTCAGACCTGGTCCAGTCTCAGTCCATGGACCAACAAGCCCAAACTAATGATATTTAGTGAAGGAAGTGTTGAGAAAGAAAGAACGCTGAGTCCTGACCAACCTTCACAGAGTCTGGTGTTAAAGACCATCTCCTGTGGGGACATTCTTCACAGGTCCACATCTTCTGACCGCTTCTCCAGCAGGAACAGAACTTCTGAGAAGAAACAGGTAAAAACCCACCTGTATTTAGGACAGAGACAGATCAGCTGGAAGCTCTGTGGCTCATTTAGCAGCTCTGAGAAAAGCTGGAGGAGCTGCTCCATGCAGCAGTGCAACCAGAACCAGATCAACAGATCCTGTCCCTCTGAAGACAGGACGAAGAGTCTCAGTCCGTCTTCAACCGTCCAACTCCATCAGACTGTCAACGGTTTCCAGAGACATCCTGAAGACTTTCCCTTTGAGTCTGCAGGAGAATCCAGCTGAGATGATCCTTTCTGCTCTGCTTTACTCCACTGTTTTCCTCTTCCTCCTCCTCCTCCTCCTCCTCCTCACAGGCTGAGAGCTGCTGGATGTGAGAGAGGCGAGGGAAAAGAGAAGCAGCCATCAGCACTCACAGGAGAGAGAGAGTGATGGAGAGATGGAGGTGTGGAAGACGATCCTAAAAATATTCCTCCTGATGTTTCATGGTTCCCCTCCCCCTCTCTCCTCCCCCTCTCCCTCCCTCCTCCCACCTTTAAACTCACCTGAGCTTTGATCTGCAGACCCGTGTTGATGCTGACACAAATCAGCTGCTTTGATTTCCCTCAGGGCGTCGAACTCACAACCTTCAGATGATCTGGATGTTTTACAGAAACAAATGACTTGATGCTAAAACTCTGKTGGTTTCTCAGAGACTTCCTGCTGGACTGAAGAATCCTCTGAATATTTGATAAAATGCAGCTGAGCTGGAGGACATGGACCCCACAAGACCCAAAACCAGCAACAAGATCCAGTCCTTCTGTTGGTTCCTGGGTTTCATGGAGAAAACTGATCCGGTTCTAGAAGGACTCCGATCTGACCTCCACAACTGAGTCACCGCTTTTTAACCAAAAATTGGTTCCAGCCCCTGATCCAGCATCTTGTAGAACCTCCTCCAGCAGCAGAACTCGGTGGTTCTGTATCAGTCATGGTTCTAGAGGAGTCTGGCCCACTCTTCTTTGCAGCGTTGCTTCAGTTCATTCAGGTTCTGCTCAGTTCTGAAGGTCCAATACAGATTCAGGTTCTGGACTCTGGACCATTGAAGCACCTTGGTTCTTTTCTTTTTGACCCGCTCTGTTGTAGACCAGCTGCTGGGTTTGGGATCAGGGTTCTGTTGGACCCAGTTTGGTCCAAACTTTGGCTGTCAGACAAATGGAGTCAGAGCTGCTGCTGCGGTGCATTCTGGGAGGACTCTGAGTCACGACAGATGAGTATGAGTCATGACAGATGAATCAGAGTCACGACAGATGAATCGAGTCACGACGGATGAATCAGAGTCACGACAGATGAATCAGAGTCACGACAGATGAATCATGAATCAGTCACGACAGATGAATCAGTCATGACAGATGAATCAGTCATGACAGATGAATCAGTCATGACAGATGAATCAGAGTCACGACAGATGAATCGAGTCACGACAGATGAATCGAGTCATGACAGATGAATCAGTCATGACAGATGAATCAGAGTCACGACAGATGAATCGAGTCATGACAGATGAATATGAGTCATGACAGATGAATCAGTCATGACAGATGAATCGAGTCACGACAGATGAATATGAGTCACGACAGATGAGTCATGACAGATGAATCGAGTCACGACAGATGAATCAGAGTCATGACAGATGAATTGAGTCATGACAGATGAATCAGAGTCATGACAGATGAATCAGAGTCACGACAGATGAATCAGAGTCACGAAAGATGAATCGAGTCGTGGCAGATAAACCGAGTCACGACAGATGAATCAGAGTCATGACAGATGAATTGAGTCATGACAGATGAATCAGAGTCATGACAGATGAATCAGAGTCACGACAGATGAATCAGAGTCATGACAGATGAATCAGAGTCATGACAGATGAATCAGAGTCATGACAGATGAATCAGAGTCATGACAGATGGATCAGAGTCATGGCAGGTGAATCAGAGTCAGAACAGATGAATCAGTCATTCAGAGTCAAGACAGATGAATCAGAGTCACGACAGATGAATCGAGTCATAACAGATGAATCGAGTCATAACAGATGAATCGAGTCATGGCAGATGAATCAGTCATGGCAGATGGATCGGAGTCAAAACAGATTAATCGGAGTCATGACAGATGAATCGAGTCATGGCAGATGAATCAGTCATGGCAGATGGATCGGAGTCAAAACAGATTAATCGGAGTCATGACAGATGAATCGAGTCATGACAGATGAATCGAGTCATAACAGATGAATCGAGTCATGGCAGATGAATCGAGTCATGGCAGATGAATCGAGTCATGGCAGATGAATCGAGTCATGGCAGATGAATCGAGTCAAGACAGATGAATCGAGTCATGGCAGATGAATCGAGTCATGGCAGATGAATCGAGTCATGGCTGATGAATTCAGCTGTTTTTCATCACAGAGCTGTAAGAAAGGAGCTGATTGGATGAAGTGACTGATGGACGTATGCAGGTTTGATGGGTTTATTGGAGTCAGTCTGGATTCAGGTGCTAACCTCTGACCCAAAGCAGTCAGACTCCGCCCACTCTTGGGATGTTTTAAACCCAGTTTGTTTCTGAACCTGAAGCTGGCGTGTCAGTGAATGCACCGTCAGGCTGAATGTAGGCCTGAGCTGCCGGCACAAGAACCAGGTCAGTACCTTTAATTACTGTCGAGTATTTGTGTCCTCCAATGTGGGACTGAGGAGGAGGAGGAGGAGCATCTTCATCACCATGCCTGGTTCTGAGAATCAGGTCTGGATGGTGTCACAAAGTCCAGTGCTGACTCAGGTCTTTGACCTTATGATGTGTTTAGGGACAGCTGGATGCTGAGGGAGATTTGGGTGTTTAATTTAACAGGTGACCTCTTCCAGGTGAGTTCAGGTCCTTCAGGGACCCAAATGTTTAAGARCAACAGGTTTTAAACCTGAACCGCCTCTGATTCATGATCCTGAGTCAGATTCAGAGACACTCTGAGACCATCTGAGACCCTCTGAGACCCTGTGAGACTTCACTCAGCAGGACTTATTTTGACATTTAAAAAAACTGTTTCTCAAAGTGATGTAAAGGATTGAAAGTCTGGAGTTCAAACAGCTCAGCAGCTTTAAGAAAACCTGATAAAAAGATCCAGTTTGTAACAGCGTCTGATAAGAGTGTAGGCCTGGACCCACCAGAGTCCGGACCTGGACCCACCAGAGTCCGGACCTGGACCCATCAGAGTCCGGACCTGGACCCATCAGAGTCCGGACCTGGACCCATCAGAGTCCGGACCTGGACCCATCAGAATCTGGACCTGGACCTCACCTGTTCTAGAGCAGACTTAAAGCTCCTTCAGCTCTCGTATTAAATACATTAAGTAAAAGAAAAAAAAKCCCAGGAAATCCATCCTATCAAATTAAAGCATGACTTTTAGTGTTGCTATTGTTTCTGTTGAATAAAGTCAATCGAGAGATTTAAAATCTGAGAGACGAGAAGTGAAGGACAGGAGGTCCATCATCATCATCATCATCATCATCATCATCATCATCCTCATCATCATCATCATCCTCATCATTGATCCCACAGCTCACTGACACCAGCAGGAGTGTGTGTGTGTCACATTGTGTGTGTTTCATTGTGTGCATGTGTCATTGTGTGTGTTGTTCAGGTGTTTCCTGATCAATAATGTAACTGCTACATCAGAGGGCAGCAGAAGGTTGAGACACAAAACCACTGAAGATAGAAAACACAGAACCAACGGTGCCAACAGAACCCAGAACACACAGAACACCCAGAACACCTGGCAGAACACCTGGCACATACAAAACACCTGGCACACACAGAACACCTGGCACACACAGAACACCTGGCATACACAAAACATCTGGCACATACAGAACACCTGGCACACACAGAACACCTGGCACATACAGAACACCTGGCACATACAGAACACCTGGCACATACAGAACACCTGGCACATACAGAACACACATACAGAACACCTGGCACATACAGAACACCTGGCA